CACCCCCCCCCCCCCCCCCCCCCATATAAACGTCTTTAAATTTTCGCAACTTTGCGGAGCTATATCTTCGCTCACTTATTGTGATGTTACACGGGACGATAGGCAACGACAATTTTTAGCGCAACATAGCGTTGCACTGTTGGAACAACGTTGCAATCATTCGAAACAATATCGAAACAATGTTGCAACGCTGTGTTGCGCTAAAAAGCGTCGTCGCGAATCGTTTCGTGTAACATCACCTTTAAGACGCGTCACTTTCAAATTTGGCAGTGTTACTAATTTTAAGGCTCTCCTATTTCCAGTGGTGTAAACGGATTTTCCAGAACTAGTCCATGTCAAATAAAATAAAATAAAATAAATAATAATAAATGTCAAAAGTTGAAAAAAACGTAAGAGAGTCCTTCTTCCAATTTTGTAGCCAAAAGGCCAAAAATCAAACATCTCTCCAGACGGGCAACACACAACAGGGAGCTGAACTTGCAGTTGAGTATGTTTTGTTTTGTTTCGCTTTGGTTTGTGTTTTCGTATCCCAATACCAGTATGAAAGGTTTTAGCTAACGGAATTAGAGTGCACGAGGCACAATTATTAATTGAAGAATTATTTCCGAAAAAAAAGCATAAACTTTAGATTTAGGTATATATTAAGCTGTAACAAAATTTCATTTTGGAAACTGGGCAAATAAACTCTGCAAGCCATCTATAATTGCGTGCATTGTTTTGCCCTATTGCTTATTGCAACATCTTTAAGTGCTGCAATTTAGTGTGTCAGTAACCGTAAATAATGCTGTTTTAACAATTAATCTAAAAACAAGCTTTTTTTGTTTTATTTCCTCGCATTAGACGTTTAGAAAAACCGTCCTGTGTAAGGTTACGTTGTTTTTCCTTGAATGAATGTAACCCTACTCTTTCCTAAATAGTTGATATAAATTGGGCCGTATGAAGTCGTAGCGATTGTAGTGACTCATAACTGTTTGCGTGTTCAAAGAACGGAGTTAAATCTTCCGAACGTACACTTTCTGAAAGAATACGAAATTTGTTTTGTAAATATAAACATATAATTTTAGATCTAGCAGCAAAGAAGATGTGAACTGAAGATGTGAAAGGAAATTCCGCAATTATAGTTGCGATTCTTGTTTTCGTGTTTTTTCGTGGTCTCCGGGCGATGCAACACTACCTTCAGTCAGCGATGCTATGATGGCGGGCGCAATACGCCTTCCGCGGGACTCCAGAACACGTCTGCACGGCCCAAGAAGCCTAACAAACGTTTTTCTCATTTCAGCATCACGAAATGCGTACACCATTGGATTCATCCCGCTATTACAATACTGCAACCACTTTGCAAATATAAGAAAGTTAGTCATTTTTTCGAAGGGCACGCAATAGGTGCAAAAAACCGCGATGGTGCTGATTGTGAAAANAAATTTGTTTTGTAAATATAAACATATAATTTTAGATCTAGCAGCAAAGAAGATGTGAACTGAAGATGTGAAAGGAAATTCCGCAATTATAGTTGCGATTCTTGTTTTCGTGTTTTTTCGTGGTCTCCGGGCGATGCAACACTACCTTCAGTCAGCGATGCTATGATGGCGGGCGCAATACGCCTTCCGCGGGACTCCAGAACACGTCTGCACGGCCCAAGAAGCCTAACAAACGTTTTTCTCATTTCAGCATCACGAAATGCGTACACCATTGGATTCATCCCGCTATTACAATACTGCAACCACTTTGCAAATATAAGAAAGTTAGTCATTTTTTCGAAGGGCACGCAATAGGTGCAAAAAACCGCGATGGTGCTGATTGTGAAAAACGATAACCATGAGACTAAGAACATTGCAGTGACGAACGCAAGAGTGAGCGCAATTCGTCTTTGTTTATTTATATTTGTACGTATTTGGGTACTTTCCTCTGAGTCTTGAAGAGTGCAGTTTGGAAGATTTGCAATAAGCTTGCGAGCCACTTTGAAGATAGAGTAATTCACTATGCAGATTAATATCCCGGGTCCAACGTAGCCCACAAGCAACAAGAAAGGAGTGTAAATCCTATGAGGATTGCTACTTGCTGTGTTATCCAGCGCAGGTCTAACGGCTGCTATGGCGAACGCTGAGATCCACACCCCGCAAATTATCAGCGAGTAATGCAACGTAGAGAGCGTCTCGTAAAAAAACGGCCGCGAAATTGAGAGCCAGCGTTCCAGGCTTACGGTGGTCAGATGAAAAATTGAAGCCAGCGCGCTGAAGATATCGAAAGACAGGAAAATTGTGTTAAGTGTTCCCCTCTGAATGTTTTGTAAAATGATGTACATCCACAAAGGCAGTGAAACGCAGCCTACAAGCAGATCCGAGATCGCCAAGCTAACAAGGAACGTGTAGGTCCCTGTACGAATTCTATAGTTCGAGAAATATGCCGCGACTACAAACGAATTACCAGTTATTATAACAAACATGAGGGCCACGCATAACGCTATCTGAATGGCAGTACTCGTAGATATTTCAACTGTTTGGGATAGTTCCGTTTCTTTTGTATCCTTCTCCATCCGTCGTTTTCAAGTCACCGGAGCAAGGATGTTTAGAGCGGTATCAGCCAACTGTTTTATCACTATAACTTCAAATGACAATTTTGTCGTCTCGTTAGGCTTTGAACTCTGATTGCGTAGTGATACGAAGCCTGATTCTAAAAATGCTTTGTCATTGGTGACTTAAAGATGACACAAAAGTCGTAGAAAATAAACAGCTTGATAATAAAAGAGATCCAATCAGTTTTAGCTCTTTTCTCACAGCAACAAAAGGAGCAACGCTTATCTGCAAAGAGAGGAAGTAACGCTCACCTTTCGACATTACGATTCTCACGTTTTTCCCGAAGAAATTAAAAAGTGATAAGCGATCCGCGTATTGTCCATTTATAAGGTGTCTAAGGTGCTCCACTCATCGTGGTAATGCTAAAAAGCAATAGAAAAAATTAACTTCGGGGCTTTGTTCTCGCCACAAGACAAACGGAAACCTATTTAGTTGAAAGGATATGGTTTATCCTCGTTTTAATCAGTTCATAGTTCTCTTGCATACACAGCTGCCAAAAGCTCGCTCGAGGCTATATAAATGCAAATGATTTTGAGAAAGCCCTTTATTGTTCACTAATAACACTTGATTATAGTTTTACTGCCATTAATTCCGAAATTATAAAGATTACTAAATTTGATTTTCTTGAAGAAAGAGCCAGGAAATTTAGAACTAGTGTTTCTAGCGAGTTTGAACTTGCTCATTGGTCAAACTGAGCTTCGTCATCAAATTCAGTTCAAATAAACGAGTCTAAAAGTAAAGTGTCTCTAGAATAAAAACACAGCTACCAATTCGGATACTAATGCAAGTTTACTTTGTTAGCTGCCAAATTTAAATTTCTGTTTCTTGTGATTACTAAAGAAAGAAAATCGAAATTTCAGCTTCTTTTTGAGATCCTGAGTTCCTCACTTATGTTCAGGTTATTCCGAGCATAAAGTTTTTACCCAATTTCTACCAATTCTGCGACAGTTAGGAAAGCATTTTCCCTTGAATTTAACATCCATTCATTAATCATATTGACAAAGAAATTAAAGACCAACCCAAAGAGAATATATTTTAAAAGGTTCGGGATGTCAAAAAGATGATAAAGATGTCAAAAGTTAAGGTATTAAAAAATCAAATTTCTTTGATGAATACAAAACTGATGTTTTGTTTCTAATTTCTCCTTTAGTAAGCTAACTAACAAATCAATTAAGGAAATAAAAGAGCAGATAGTAATATCTGGATATTTTTGAAAAGCAGATTTAAAAGGTTTTATTTTTGTTTAAACCCTTTCGTTCGTCGTTCAATGGCTAGAAACGCCTGGGAACTTTTTTGTTAGTGTGTGATGAAGTAAGACAAAACATTGCCGGGTTTAATTGTTTTATCACGACTTGAGCGATTTATGTCAATCTCCATTAAGTCGGTTTTTCAGCCACAATTGAAAACTATCTGAGCTAAAAGTAAATTCAATTTGCAATTGAAAAATTACTCTAAAAACCAAAGCACTGAGTATTGACATAACAGGATAAACATTGACAAAAAAGCCATTTTTCCTTACCCTGACCAATTTAAAATGCCAAATTGGCTTAAAGTTTAATCTGTTCTAAAAGTCATTACTGAACAATCATGGATCCATTAATACAAGCTAGTCACGTCCTCTTTTAATTAAAGCAGCTCCAATTCAAAAGAAAGCAATCGCGAAAGTGATACACAAACCCCTGCCCCTGACGAAGGTTTGTGTTTCAAATCTAAATAACGGGTAAAACAAAATAAAATAATAATAATAATAATA